GCATTTCCCACAAGTGCCGAGGCTGTGAGCGTATGGGTGGTGATCAAGATGTCATGGTTTCATCAGGCGCAAGAAGCTGCACGCCCTGTGAAGCAACAGCGGGTTCAGAATGACGAGGGCATTGCAAGCAAGGAGAAGAAGATGCTCGAGATTCGAGATGCTTGCCAAATTATGTTTTAAAGAACTCGCTGGAAATCCGAGAGCTGCAATCTGCCATCTTGTGTCCGTTCATTATCCCTCGCCATTGCTGTTGCGGGCCTGCAAAGAAGCATGTGGAGAGAATTAAAGCAAGACAAGGCAATGAAAGAAAAATCGACGCATTGGGGCCTATTCATGTGCACGTGTGGGCTTGCATCGTGATTGTTGCAGTGGGGAGTGTGGCGACCAAGGAGGATGCGGACATTCTCGATGAACATTTTGACAGTATCACAAAGCCTGGCTCAGATCCGAAATCCATTGCGCTGCGTGTTCATGTTGCTCGCTGTCGTAAAGCATGGGATAAAGGAACGGTGAAGTTACACTTGGCTTGCCGGAGTGACTTGTGCACAGTGTAGAACGAGCCCTTGTTGCGAGCGGCGCGAAGCGTAAGCTCGGACAAGCCCCTCGTGGTGGGCCAAGGCGACAGGTCCAAGAATTGTTGGATGCATTGCAGTAAACGAACTGGCAAAAGACCAGTGAGACGGGGTACGGACACAGCTGTTTTGCCTGTTGTTCGGCTTTGTCGTGTGGTTGCAGGAAGGCTGTGCTCCTAACCCCCGTTGTGTCCCGTGTTACCAAGGTTGCTACTTGCTGTTGGTCTGCCCAGCAGCTGCCATCACGCCGGGGGTTAGTCCCCCTGCTCGGCTTGAAGACTGTCTTCGAAGGCCGTGAGTGAGTGAGTGCTATATGTATGTATACACGCATTGTTCTACTAATCACATTCCATTATCTTCCCGGGCTCATCTGCTTACTCGTAACTATCCTCGCTAATTCAACAACACTAACACTCGCCATTCCAAAGCGCTCACAACCAACGACAACGTCAAGCAATACAACAACACAAGCCATGCAAAACACATAACAACAAGGCAACATCAATGAATCAACCACCGAAGCAATGCGAACAAGCAAGCACCGATCAACTAGCAAGGCAAACAATCAAACAACCCAGCAACAACAAGTCAATGAGACCACAAGCAATCGCACACGTAAGGGCAGCATCCTACACTCTAAGCATACATGAATGAAAGTTTGAAGGCCTGACTGCAGAGAGTGGTGGAGGGTCTATTCCTGAACAGAAAAGCTCCGCCCACTCACCGTGTGGGCGAGTATGCGTGGCCACGGAGGGCACTCTCGATCCTGGACGCGGCCATGAAATGCTGTCCCGATGGGCACTCAGGCCATCAGAGGACTCCCCACAGGACACTGCTCTGCTAGGACAGAGGGCCATACAAGCTTTCAGGGATCATGCGGCTTGACTAACTGCCAGCTTTCCCGATTCATCCCGCATCGTCCGTAGTGCGCGAGAAGCTTACGAGGCTACCACCGCCTGCGGTGCCGAGGCACTAGCAGGACGAACAAGTAATCAGGAACAGCCCGCCGCCCACTTGCCATCATCTGGAATATTTTTATTCATGCCTTCGCAAAGCAGAGTACAGCAGGAACAGCGCCAGAATAAGTGAAGATAGTGCTGGCGCGTATCATGCAGAGAAGGGACTTTGGCATGTGACGGTTCTTGATTTCACCATGCGTGTCCCGATTCAGTGCAAGCCCTCAACCCTAAATCCCCGAAGCCCTCTTGTTGCAGGCTTGCATGCAAGGACGCCTGGTAGTTTGCCGCTCTTCCGCCAGTTAAGACGGTGCTCGTGACAGTGCCCCTAGCTTCTGAGCGTGCCACCCCTGCAGCCAAATCCTAAACCACAAACCCCAAAAGCTCTTGTTCAACTGGGCTCTCACGAACCTTGAACCCTTTTTTGAACCCGTGCTGAGGCCAAGCAAGGCTTACAATTGTCGACAAATCTTGTAACACCCGTCTCAGCATTTGCAGAACACGTTCAAGAACCTGCCTCATCCAAGATCATAAGGCCCCTGAAGGCCCGACGCCCTTAAGCCAGTTTTTCACTTCTCGATTTTGAACTCTATAGATTCTTCCGATGCCTTCTTGGCAAAGTTCTTCAAGGTAGGCGACCTTGCTTCAGGGCTTGGAGTGGTTTGCTTTGCTTGTGGCTTTGTTTGATGAACGCCGTGAGAGTGTACACCTGGAAGGTCTCGATGCAAGCTTCGGTTCGAAGGCATCTTAACGGTTTGATTTCAGCTGCTGGACGGCCCCATACCTTTTCATGAAGGCTATTCATGTCATAATGAGAAATCGTTTGGGCTCTGTGTGGCTTGGCATAATCTTATTGCCCTCAAAAGGCTTCATGGTCTTGGAGGTCTTACATGTTTTTATGGAAGTCATTCGTTGCGGCTTCGGGAGTCAGAACGACTTGCCGCTTTGCCCAGGCTTCAGCATTTCAGCAGAGTTTGAGGCTGCAGGCTTGGGGTGCAGGGCAACTCTGGTTTAAGTCCTATAGGTCCTGAAACGGCTTTATGTTTGTTGTGGTGCTTTGCCTAAAAGCTTTCTGGTCTTGGAGGTCTTGCCTGTTTTTGTTGAAGTATTTGGTTTTTTGACACTCACACTCAAAACCAAATGAAGTATTTGGTTGGAGGTTTCAGGCTTCTGACCGACTTGCCGTTTCACATGCTTTCTGCGGCTTTAAGGGGGCTGCCGTACCCTTTCCGGGTATGAGCCTCCAAGGCCCCACGTAAGTTTCAGGGTCCCCATCTGTTGAGTTCCCATAGCATTTCATGCACCGTTGGGCTTCTGGGGAAACCCTTATCCGAAAACAGTTCAGGGTGTTGATCTTGCCAAATCCAAACAGCCGAAAAGATTCAGTTCAGTCTTCATGTGTTTTGTGTTTGTCATAAGAACATTGCCCATGTACCATGCTGGGCTTGGGGCATTTGTGCTCTCAGAGGAGTGCTGACGCCAGTTCTGGCCGAGGCACTTTGCCGCTTTCGGGCGTCGAGGGCTCAGAATGGCTGCCCGCAACAAAACCGGGGCCCTCTGTGCCCACTCGGCATGCTTACATCAAGGCCCGACAATCCGCATGTATGGACCATCGGACCATCTGTCATCGTTTGTCAACGTCGTTAGCAAAAGCTGCGTACGTATGCGCCACGCACGACATGTGGCTGCGTGAGGGAGCTTCGCTGGCTCCGTCATGCTTGTTTGTGCTGAGCTGCAACTTCCTGCTTCTTGTGCGGTTCGTTTATTTACTCTGGTTGGTCCCCAGCTTTTTGTGCGTGCGATGCTGAAACGATCTGTACATAGAGCATTCAAGTGATGAGCAATTTGATAAAACAAGTTGCCGATGTCGCACAATCATCGTGTGTTGGCTGTCTGCACTCTTGGCAGGGTGTCCCCGGCCCGAAGCATTTGGAAGTAGCGTGAGCCCAGGCTGCGGAGTGATCAGATGACAAACGATGAGCATCTCTATGGACACCTCCTTCCGCTGTCGACCAACCGAACACCAACCACTGACCTACAGAGTGTGTGTGACAGAAGATTGCCGAGCTATGTACGTTCGTGGCGATCCTGGGGGTATTACGAAAGCCAACCTAGAATCCTAACTCTTATTCACAGACAGCCGCCCAGACTTGAACCCGCAGAACCTGCTTTGTCTGCCCTGTCTTTGGTTGACGGCCCGAATTTGGACTCTGGCCTTGAGCTGACACTGTGGCACATGGCCTTCGCACCTTCGGTGTGTCAAATGGAGCTCGTAGAATGCCTGTAAGTACATCTGAAACAATTCCAAGCAAGGTTGAGTCGAAGCTACTGTCAGGATTTCAGCACGGTCTACATACCCTCTACATCTGCAGACTGAGATCTGACAAAGCCTTGCTCTCCGTCGTAGAAATGCAGACTCATGCAGCTCTCGCGTGGCTCGCATCAGGTGTCTTGCAGAATCTGGCTAGGCCAGCTCTTTCTCGTATCGCTGTCCTTCTATAAGGCGCACCTTTAACGTTCAGCGCCTTTGATCTGGGAGAAACTCGTTAAATACACTTCTTTTTGGGGACTTTTCTGCTGAAATCAAAAGCACACGGGGAGTGCAATGTGCTCCAAGTAAATGGCTTGAAAACCCGGGAGTATTCGTGCCGGTGCGGCATCAAGCCACACCAGCCTCAGCCCGGTAGTGTAGACATGTTGAACGTGTAGCACCCAGCTGCCAGCAGAATCACAGCTCTAAATAAAGCACGCTTTCATCGGGCAGGCACGCTCGGAAAGTTTCGATGCTAGCTGTGGCTGCCCAGCAAATGCGGGTGAGACACAAGGCAAAGGTACCAACATAAATCCCATGCTGCCAACTACGGCATGCCAGTCGAAACGTCTGAGGCGGCCACGGTGTGAAGTCCCTGCTTTCGCAATCCCAAGGTCTGCCCAATCCAGGACCCTTGAAAGGTGGGACTCAGCACAGCCGGCATGCTTCACAGACTTCCGCGGGCCAGCATGCCCAAACAAGTATACTATTAAACTATAAATCCAATCTCATGGTTCTGCGCGCTTGGAGGAGTCACGCTCCCGGGAACAGCCATCTTTTAGAGCAAAAAACATTCATTCCTTCCTTTGTTACCTAGATTCTTACATGTTCCGTGTGACCTTTGTGCATTATTGCCTTTGCCACCCGTTTGCCTACATATCGTAGCTGGCAACCCCCCAAAAGCTTCTGTCTAGCACTTCGACGCGAAAGACAGCCGTCAAGGGTACCGGAAAGTCTTGCCAAGGCCGTCACATGGGGTCGACACTTCGCTCTCTCCTGCAAGCAGAATACCCATGGCCTAGTTTTGGTTCATACAGCACCTGTCCCGTCCTGCATGCAACCCATGGTCTGTCCCCAAAGGCCCGACCTCGTTTTTCGCATGCCCTGGCAAAACATGCAGAAACACGTCTTCCAAGGCCCTGGCAATGGACAGGATATGCTCTACCTGGGAGGTAAAGCAAGGGAGATCAACAAACCCTACGCAAATCTCAGCCGTGTGTTGAGAACGCACTATGCAGGCAGATTAAAACCGAAACCCACAGCCTGAGTCTGAGTCACACCTTGCTATGGGTGACAGTTTCTGCACGGTGTTGTTTGCTGTTCTCAAGCTCGAACGAATGAACGTTTCAAGGCATGTTTTGCAGTTCAGCGGCTTGACTTGCTCGAGCACCCGCATTGCTTCATCCACCTAGCGAGCACGGCAGCTCACGAAGCCCAGCAGTTTCTGCCAACCAGCCGGCCTTGGCTTTGAGCTGGGGCTCGCTGTCCAACAGGATCAACAGCTCGGAGTTGTCCATCTCGAGCATCATGCCTGGAGCAAGCTCTCCGATACCAAGTTTCTTACAAAACACTTCGCAAATCATCGGATAGAGCTGCTTCGGGTCGCTTCTATATAAGCTCCTAAAATACGAGCACCCCATCCACAAGTTCGCTTTGCCTGTGATCTTGCCTGCCAGCTCCGGTTGGTGCTTGGAGATTGCCGGGAACAGCCGCTCCCCAATCAGCTGCTTCTGCACCTGAGCCAAGCTGAAGTGGCTGGAGCAAGCGTTCAAAGAGTTCTATATCGTCCGTCCATTTTGGGCCGGCGGGCTTCTAAACACTTCACTAGTGGGCAAATGTTCACTTGTTTGTCGGTGGTTTGTGGCCGACGGTCAGCCAACAAAAGCAACCCTGCATACGTGCTCATGATTGGTTTTGCGCTCTACGCGACCCCCCTAAACTCTGCAATAGAAGCCATTCCTCCTTGTGGGTGTGGGTTTGGGTGGGTCGGGTTCAATTCGCCGTAGTTGGGCTTGGTTTGGGGTTTGTCATCGTCCCCGTGCTTTTGTGACTTTGTGCCTAATGTGAAAACATGTTGGGTTCGGTTATGTTCAGTTTCCCTCATCGCCCTGCGTGCTAGGGCAGGTGTGGCCTTGGTGTCGCTTCTTTTGTAGGTGTGGATGGGTTTGGTTCCCCCTGCCTCACGTAGTGTGGCATAGAAAATGACAATCGAAGTCAAGAGGATTGCGACCCATCCATCTCTGTAAGCGTCTGCATTTTTTGCACCCATCCATGCAGGTGTCGGCCCGTTTGCAGCGGCCGGCGACTCTGAAGTAGATTCCAGCTCGTTTTCCCTCCAGTTGGGGGGGGGGGGGTCGGGGGCGGGGAAGGAACACTAAACGCCTATGCCGGACGGGATAGGATCGTGAGATTGATCGGCTGTTTACGTTGGGTGGTTCGGAATGGTTCGGCTCTCTAAGCCTAGCTGCGACTCGAAATGCTCCTGGGAAACGTGCTCGCCGCGAAACTTAGAATGGAATTCACCTCTTCCCGTAGCGGACTTCTCATAGATTCGAACTGGTCATGTACACATCTGAAACCCATGGCAACGTGCCAGTGCTCGTGACAACCCTTTGGAGTGCATTCTGTCTTCTGTTGTCGAATTGCTTTGGAGCATTGTCCCGGAGCTCTGGGCGTGGCCAGGGTACCTGAGGGCTGCGTGTCCCTGGGTCCCACTGAAGATGTTGCTGGGACGGGCAGTGCAGCCTTGACCGTGAAGTTCCGTGCCATAGAAACCAAGGATGCCACCGGTGGTGCAGCAGCGGCGAGGGCTGCAGCTGTCAGCTGCTGCCCAGATCCTTGTGCAGTACTTGCTGCAGGCTTCTGTGCAGCGAAAACTCATAAACGGCGTTGTATCCATTGAAAGATCCAAAGTGCCTGGGTTGGCAGCCTGGGCCGGCGTCTGCTGCGGCTGAGGCATCGGGGCAGGCATGCCTCAACAACGGCTGGTTCCCCCCCAAGCAAGGTTTGCGAACACACCCGAGCATCCGGCCTGGGCGCATCATCGGCATTTGAGGCATGGCGGGTCGCATCATTCCCATTGGGCCCATTGGGCCCATGGGCCCCATTGGCATCGGCATACCTCCTTTGCCCATGGCTCCGGGCATTCCCATTGCACCAGGCATGCCCTTGCCCATGGCACCCATTCCCATCATCTGCGGGTTCATTGGCATGTTGGGCATGCCCTTGCCCTTCTGGCCCATCATTCCAGGATTCGGTCCGCCCTGGCCCATCATGTTGCCTTTGCCCATGCCACCCATGCCCATCATTGGCGGACCTCCCATGGGGCCACCCATGCCGCCCATCGGGTTTCCGTACATCTGGTTGCCACCCATACCCATGCCGCCCATGCCCATGCCGCCCTTTCCACCCTTTCCTTTTCCTCCCATGCCCTTGCCCATGCCGCCAGGGGAATAGCGCTGACCTCAGCCGAAAAGGACTCAAACCGATCAGCATCTTGGCTGGTTTGCACTGTGCCGAAGTGACAGAATACTCTCTTCGAGACACGCAGGCGCTCGGCCCGGACGTCACGCTTTTCTGCCAGGCCCACGTACAGAGGCTTCCCCTTCACGACCTACCGACGGCTGAGCTTGGCAAGGACCTTGAAACGCTATGCAAAGGAGCTCCGTCCTTGAGGTGCATCTCGGTTACAGCTTTGGTGGCTTCGTCCGGACTAGAGAAGCAGACAAAGCCAAAGCCCTGCACGGGTCATGCAACAGGGGCTGAAGCATCTGAACCCATGGGCCGATTGGGCCGCGGACTGCAGGCCCTCAAGCTGCTACTTACTTGTAGCAACCTGTTGGCACCAATCTGGCCTTGCACTTGCCAGTGGCCTCCTGCCCAGTACGGCACTTCCCGGTGTGAATCGACTGGCGACGTACAATGACCGCGGTGCGAGGTTATTGCAACAGGACGTGTCTGAAGATGGCGCTGTTTTGCAGTCCTTCATGGCAACGACGGATGTGATGTTGCCGAAGGGTTCGAAAAGATCCTTCAAGGAGTCGTCGTCTGCGGCCTCATCCTCAGCTGCTGACTGCTACAGCCCTCTTTGGTTTTTCATAAGTATTCCATCCCCGAGGAGAGTTTCCTTGCTAAGACTTTGCACTAAGCTTTGCTTTTCCCCTCTTTGACGCAGTGGCCAAGTTTTTGACGTACAGGTTGACGCCCTGCGAACGCGACGGTCCAGCTGCCGGATCCCTTGGCGGCATCTTCTCCTCATCAAAGTACATCTATGACTCTATGCGACCTCACCCATTGAGGGAGGTCCAGGCATGCACAGGCCTTCAGCTCCATTTGGCGCTCGTACTTGGATTGCGCGCGGGCAACATACAGCAAATAGCCTGCTTGGTGATGCAGTCGCTCTTGGCAACCATGACCCAAGATGGATTTGATTTTCATGGTTGCACTCGAGCTGCTCTTTTCTGTGCGATCCTTCTCTTCCTCTTCCTTTTCCTTCAGGGCTTACTCCAAAGAACAACCAGTGCCGGGCCCTTCAGAGACCCGGAGAATCAGTCCTTGTCGGCTTCCTTCTGCTCATCAGTGCGACAATCCTTCTGGTGCATAGAAGTAATCGCCTGCAGGCCAGTCCCTCTTCCGTCTACTCGCTGCAATACCTGGGTTTCTGACAGTCGGCAGCCTGAACGGCTTGCTCGTGAGTCTCGTAGTTGAGGAATGCAGACTTCCTTCCCTGACCAACCAGCAGGACTGGTCCGAATGACACAGCAAGGCCAAACGGCAGGCACCAACGCGGACCTTCGGGTCGGTGGACACATGAGACGAGGTGATCTGAGCACCGCGTCAGCAAGCATCGAAGCATGACAATGTCCATGCTGCGATGCATCACGTGTCAATTGCGTGTGCTACGAGGATGAGCTGCCAGCGGCTCCGTGAGGTGCGAACTCGGTCTTAAGCTTGTCCTGCCGCAGTACGAGAAGCTGTGGGCTATGCATGATCCTCGATACTGTTGGAGGCAAAGGATGCTCCCTCGAGACCTGGTGGCCAAAGCAAACAAACTTCCGTTTCCACTTGCAAGCTCCCGTTTGTGTTGGTCGTTCAGTGTCAGTGTGTGGGTGTGTGTGCGAGTGTGTGATCGTGTCTGTTTTTCGACATCTTTTAGAAGGCAGAGTGAGTATGCACGTGCGATTATGTACAATGCAAAGTGAGAATTTTCGAGTTTTCTGTGAGCTACATCTTACGACCAAATCCTCGTCCCAGTCATCAGGGAAGTTTTTGATGTAGATCTCAGCGTGACAGGTATGAACACAAAGCAAGCAAATAAATGTGGTTCGGGCTCCTGGCATTGGTGAAGGTGTTCATTGCTGGCTTCTCACCTCAAGCTATAAACACGCATTCTCCGCAAATTTTTCCTGTACCGTGCCGATTCACACTGGGCTTCCAGCGATCTTGACGCTTGACGAAGCCAGACACCCCGACCTCCCCGACATATCTTATCACCAAAGAAAACTCATCTTCTGTCTTGCTGGACCACCCGTCACTACACTCTCACTATTCGAGAAGGCCAGATGGGGTTTCTCGGTTACCAGTCGACTGCACAGTGGCAGGAGACGACGTGTGGGTAGGGAGCTGCATCCCGAGGCAGCAGACCGTCTTCTCTCCGATTTGCATACCGTCGACTCGTTCAATGGCCTGCCACATGCGTCGTTGCTGGGTCACGACTTAAGACCACAAAACTGGCGGTGAAAAAATGGTGAAAACAAAGCTGCCTAGCATCTTCAGACCGTGAGCAAAAGGGCCCAACTGCGTCGAATCTGACGCTGGCCCCTCTGTTCAGCCCGGCCTGTTTGGCGGCATCTTCGGTCTCGTAGTGCACCTCATGTGCAATTGAGTCTCGTTTCTGCTGCCCTACTGCAGATGCATAAGCACGATCAAGCATGATCCGTCGATCCGTGCAAGCTCCGGATTTCGGCCACCGGCAAAACCGTATCCGCGGGACTTCCCATCTGGCCCAGTGCAAACCTTCCAGAATTGAGTGCTACTCGGCTGCTTTCTCTTGCTGGCCGAGGGCGAATCCCCGCAGTCAGAACATGTCCAAACTCAATCTGGCTCAATTTGTGGCGTTACAAATCTTCATATTTTTGGATGCCTCTGGATATGAATCGCATCTAGCGCTCCTGAAAACGTTGTGTATGCGTGCGGCATGATGCTGTTTGCGTGATAGCCCATAGCCGGTGTCTGCATGAGCGTGCAAACCAACGTCATGCGATTGTCTGTGCATTCTTCACTCTTGCATCCTCCCGCATGGCTATAATCGATTGTCTGCATGATCAGGTGTGTGTGTGTGTGTGTGTGTGTGTGAACCTCCCTAGCACATGGGAGCAGAGGGTCACTCCTACACTGTTTGCAATTTTTGCTTTTCAACTCAATCAGACATTTGACATTTACCGAATCAAATGTTGCAGGGGAGTGCGGCATGGCTGTGGAACCGCACTCAACGAAACTACCACAGTCATGGGATACCGAGTCTGATCAACTCGGCGTACCTGCAAAACCTTGAGCTGGGGCCCCTGTGCCAGCCCGATTAGAAGGCCCCTGTGCCAAGATTAGAGAGTTTTCAGTTGCCACTTTTGGCGGTTGATTTGACAACAAACAAGCTGTACGGTTGCCACAATCTGACAAGCTTTTACAACATGAACAACATGCCTCTCTTTTTCCTCTTGCACTCGTACTCTTGGCCGAATCCATCAGTGTGATCAGCGTGGGTCTATGAGACTCCAGAGCAACGGCTTTCCGTCATGGCGCCGTGGTGACCCTCCGGGGAGACCGGTGATGAACCGGGTGTTCAGCCTTCGTTCAGATCGTTCAGATTCTCCTGATGCTACTTTATCTCTCTCTCTCTGATGCTCGCATGTGAGTCTGACATGAGTGCAGTCGCAGTAAGGGACGGCTAATGCAGTAATGTGCGTCTAGTGAGCAGGTGCTACCTCTCTAGTCTGCCCCGTATTTTTCCGCTTCTTTATTACTCAGGGACTGCAAGGGCATGTGCATCTGACATGAGTGCAGACGTGGTAAAGATGTCTACAGCAAGTGAAGCAGCGCTCTCTCCGGAGAGTACTCGGCCCTCTTCCTTCCTTCTCTCCGTCTACGACCTCTCAAATCAGCCCAGCAGGGACAATCAGGACAGCCTGCACTTTGCTTGTGCAACTGTGTGTGTTTCACCCGCTTCGTTGCAGCTATGTGGCCGGATTATTTTGCCGCGCAGCCACCAGCAACACCATATGCACCAACAGCCCGACCGGTGCTTAATCAATTTCACCAGAACACCTGGGTACCGCAGTCTCAAAGCTACCCAGCAATGATGCCAACCGGCATTGCTGCCACTCAGCAGCCCACACTGCCGACACAACCCACTACGATTCCTCTTGAGCAAACGCACGGCTTCCCCATGATGCCGTGTGGACACACCGCTCCTATTCCACAGCATCCGACGATCTACACACATCTCAGCACACCACAACCCCAGATGCCACAACAACCTCCACCCCAGCAATTCATGTCACAACACCCCACACCGTTCATGAACCCTGCTCTTTTGCCTACCCATCCAACAGCTTTTCCCATGAGCCCATCTGCTTCGGCACAGCATCAGGCCCAACCTACCACATTCAACTTTCCTTTTACACCACCTGCCCCACAACCCCAACTTGCACCTTGCAACATCCCTCCCACACAACCCATTCAACAATCACACATACCGCCACCAACAACAATCCAACAAGCTCCACAACCCCACCCCACCAGTGTTCCCACTGCCGATGTTGCACACACTGCCCCGCAGACACCGGCAATGACACCCCAACAACAACAACCAACAAACACAGCCAACACCCCTTCCGTTAACACAGTGCCACCCGCACAACCACCCCCAGATACGGGATCGGCAGACACTGACCAGCTCGCAGCCCGTACTTCTCCACATCACCCTCCGCTGCCACGCAGACGACGGCATTCACCCACACGCAGCAGAACTCGCACCGTGAGCACTAGACGCCGTCGACACACACGCAGCCGAGCACGACCTGCAAGCAGCGGCAGACAGCACCGCCGACGCAGACACCACCGATCCCGCGACACTCGCAGAAGCCGTTCTCGCAGGGACACCAGGCGAGCTTCATCGACACCTCCTCGGACCTCGGTTGTGCTCCGCAGCTATTCTACAGTGCGTGATGATGATGCCAACAAGTGGCATTACAGAGCCACACAGCCACGTCAAAGGCCACCTACCCCACCCAAGGTCCCACAAAAAACATTGGTTCAGCGCATCGCCCTCCGCATCAAGGGCAGCCAAGCAGCACAACAGCAGCCCCCAACAAGCCAGGGCACATCCTCGCGCCAACAGCTTCGGCACAATCCCCCCAGCTCTGTTCGGACACCTGCTCCGACTTTCGACGCATCCACAACTGCTGCCCCATCGGGTCAGCCAACCCTCGAACAACTGGGCAAACAGAGCAGACCACCACAGATTGACGTGGCGCCTTTCTCTGAGCTTTATGATCATGAAAAGCCGACACCCCACGCTGTCGACATGGAGGAAGCGCACAAACTCGCCAAAACTTTGGGCGAGATAGCTGCTGACAGCGATTTCAGGCAGGAGACTTTAGCCGAATTCGCGCATGCCGTATTACAGTCGGGCACGCGCTCAGCGTGCAACGAATTGGGAGCAACGCTGACGCCAATATCGGACGGCGTGCATACTATGTTATTCATCCCGTGGGCTGGTGAGACTCGCAGAGCATTCGGCACTCGTGCCACTGACCCACCAGGGGAAACATACATCTACACCGCCGGACACGGCACGAGCATTGCAAGTGCAGCACGCATAATGCGTGAGGACTTGGTCCGCCCAAGTTCTGTCAGCCATTGCTTCGACGACAAGTCCTATCCACCCATTCCCTCTTGCGTCATATACGGGAATGCGACCCCAGGAGATGTGTCGGAAAGCACGGTACATATAGTTACCGATCAATGTACGCGGCGGCCCAAGGGCCAACAGGGAGTGATCGTCATCGGGACAATACGGACTAAGTATCAGCATTACAAGATGACGTATCGGGACATGTACAGAGAAGCCTTCATCGTGGGGCGAAAGGGTGTTGTGCGGACCCCGGAGAAGTGGGGATTCCACTCCGGGCACTTCAGCATCGTTGGATTCGGCCTCATTCAGTGATGTTGATTTCTTCTTCTGTGTCTTCCTGTAACTCTCTAGTACTTTTTCTTCCAGGCCTGAATCCCTGTACACATAGTTGTTTGCAATCAGGCATTTGCTCCGACCCCGCTTTTGAGCCAAAGAAGATTCGATGCAGCTGCATGCTGGATGCCTCGCACAAGTTGATGTTGACGCTCAAGCCAACCAGGTTGCTCATGCATGTTCCATGTGCAGCTTTTGCAGTCACAGGCAACTGTAGTGCCCCACTGTGCAACCATGTACAAGCCGACACAGCCTCAGTGGCATACAACAATGCCAACAGGCATCATCGGTACAGCAATCAGTACCGTGCAGCGACAAACAACCTCGACCAGCAGCACCCCATTGCACCCGATCTCCCCACCACCAGGGATCCACAACATCCCACCACACACCTCATCACCAATCCCGACTACTTGGGGTTCAGCTCACACGTACAGCCACAACAACACTTTCCCACCTTTCCCTCCACCCCCTCCCCCACCCCAACAGTTTCCCGGACCAATTCCACCCACCACACTGCCAACCCCCACACCTGCTACTCCCCAACACACATTTGTGAGTCCATCTCCGATGACGACTCGAAACCCCGGCATTTCGTCACATACATTACCTCAAGCCACCGTCGCAACCCAACAACAGCAACACCCCAATCCCACGCCTGCAAATCCCCAGATACCAAACGACTTTGTTCAAACACCAGAGCATTGGGACAACAGGCAGCTTTTTGGCCTCAACCTCCCCAAACACATTCAATCTACACCACATTCAGTGCATAACCGCACAGCAGGCATGCCAATCGCAACAGCACCATTGGTCGCATTTTTGCGACACAATTGGTCCTCGTACTGGCTACGGTACGCTGCACATGGCTTCGACATCCATCTCACATGCAGCAAACACGTCAGCGAAGCCGTCTTTACCACTGAACTTATGGGTCAACTCCGAGCAAGGAGAATTGATCTGGACCAAGCGGCCACTGCATTCTGCTGGCAAGAAAAGCTCACACTCGCAAAACGACCAGCAATGTCACACCTTATCAAGGAATTGGTGTTGTACCTGCAGGAGCTGCAGGACCAGTACAATGACGGCAACAAAAAGGACAAGCAAAATGTCAAAGCAGACACAGACAACACACAATCGCAACCCACCGAATCTCCAACACCACCACAATCCAGCAAACCACAACCTCATCTCCCACTCCAACCTTCGCAGCCGACAGAGACTGACACTCTGGCGGCCCATCGCATCAGCGACCTTGAAGCACGACTTTCAACAGCACTGGAGACAATTGAAACTCTCCGTGCGCCGGAAGCACACAATGAGGCCCCCAGCACACCAGCATCAAAGAAACCAAAACGATCCACCACGCCCAGCACTCCCATCAACACGCCCTCCCCACCACCTCTCTCAATTTCCACAATTGAGATTTCTCCCACCACAACCACCCGTGGACAAAAACGGGCCACCATCGATGACCCTACACACACCAACACCAGGCCTACCACGGAGGGCCTATCCCCCTTCACCACAACCGCTGCAGAACAAGACAACAACCCGTTACATACTTCCCCAGCATCGTCATCCACCACAGGCATGCACTTCCCGGGACGATCCACTCTGGGCGCCAAGCGACAGAAGCAGTCAACTCTTACACCAACGAAGGCGGCACCCCTCGATCCCAAGATGGATCCCCAGCGCATCTTCCAGCAGCCTACAAAAGCCAGTGTTTGGTTTCAAGACCACTTCACTGGCGTTCACTCCGAATCTGGCA